CTCCGCGTACAAGGTTTGGTGCAAGACACATTTTATTCCATTGCATACCCTCCCCATGTGGCAGCGGTTCATTCATCATGAGTGGCACTTCCATCTTCGTCATATGTGCCAATGTCCGAAATTTCAGGAAGGTCATGCGTTGCAGTTGAAGGACATTGTATGTACAGATTGGGTGATTCACCTCGCTGATCACGAGTCGTCAACGCATCTTATGGTCTTTTGCCCTAGATTCTACTTCCAATCCTGCCAGCGTGTATGGTCAGATGTCAAGGTGTTCAGAGCGATGCCAATGTCCATTTCGTCAGCAAAGTTGTTTCTGTGTGCGCATATTCCGCCTTTATTGGTTCGCAAGTACCCTTGGGGATTCAAGTTGGATGCCAATTTGCCTGTGGGGCAGATCTTTCTCAAACGGAAAAAGTCCTTCAAGTCAGGACGAACAATCATCAGCTACAAGAATACAGCCTTGGGCCCTATTCTTAGAGCCGCAGCGATCTGTATTGACCAAATGGTCAACACAGTATGGCCTGGTTCATTGTCACGCAGCGTCCCGCAGATTTGGCATCACATTCATCAAGTGTTCAAGCATTGCTCGCTGGACACTGAACTCGAACTACTCAATGATGATCTTGTTGGGTTCTTTAACCCGGTGCCCCAAAATCGTATTCTGGAAGCAGTGGAGATGTTGGTTCGTATGTTCACTGTCAGACATCCTGATGTTAAACTGTCGGTTTGCATCAATGAGAAGAGCAAACATTTTCGTTCCATTCATGGGAGGATTTCCAATATTCGTCGGCACTTCGATTGGAAGACCATTGATCCTTACGACTTGGTCACCATAGTTCGCCTCAGCTTTGAGTGCGGCTTGTTCGTTGCGCTGAATAGAGTGTGGAAACAAGTTGATGGCACGTCAATTGGTAATCAAATCAGTCCTGTTCTTTCTTCCCTCCCGGTGGTGATGACCGAGCTTGGTTGGGCAGCAATGTTCCCACAAATTTCGAGTTTCCCTTCCACTTTTCTCGCAAGATATGTGGACAACAGACTGGTGATTGCACCCAGCGAAGTGCATAAAACAGTGCCTTTTCAGGTCTTCAGCCAGGAGACCTTTTATGGTTCTCCGATTGTACTTGAAACTGTCGGTGATGGTCACTTCTTGGGATTTGACATCGATGTCCGAAACCGAACTGTTTACTATCTCCAGCCGAAGTTCCTTTGGCAAGTTCGACACCCCATGAGTGCAGGTAGCGATAGATTGCTGGTGTCAGGCGCGAAGTCGAGAATTTCCCTCATTCGCAAGTACACTTGGCCAACGTGTCAAGCTGAAGTAGCTGTCCACACTTTTGTGCGGTGGTTAGCGAATCTTGGATACTCATGTCACCTGTGTGAAGCTTTGATGAAACGGTAAAAGAGTGCCTGAGTTAGTCAGTTGATAGTTGACAGCGGACACACATGCAGCATGTTTCCATTTCAGTTCTTTATTTGTGAAAGACTTGCAGCTGTCGGCGCCGCAGTGTTTTTGGCTAAGAGACGAAAACATCCTTGAAAGCAAGCATGTCGGCGGTGCCACCTTCGGATCCCAGCATCGATGAGTTCTTGAGAACGCTCACTCATTCAGCGCGTGTGAGATTGCTCAACTTTGTAGCACGACCTCAACTTCGACAGGCACTTGTACATCAGTTGACAGCATTTGTGCGTGAAGGTACAGAAAGATTGCTGCATCAAGAGTTGCGTCGTCTGGATGAGAGAGATAGAGCAGCTCTGCGTGATGAACGTCCCAGCAGTAGTGGAGCTTCAGGTTCACATTCGTCCAGTGGCAATTGCAGGTCCCATCCCTATGCCCCTCCATTTCCCTCACCAGCAATGAGGAGTGTGCCGATCGCAGTGACTGACAACCCGTCTTCCAGCTCCACACCTCCTCCCCTGCCCCCCCCTGGCCCTCCCCCTCTTCCTCCCCCTCCCCTCCCTCCTCCTCTTCCCCCTCCCAATTTCCCCCCACCCGGTGCTTTCGCACCTGTCTTTCCCCCCCCGGCACTGCCAGAAAGCTTGGTGCCTCGTGCGCCTGCCCCTCCTTTGGTGTCGAGTGCCGCTGCGTCGTCGGCTGCTCCTACATCTTCAGCTACGTCAGGTACTCCAGTCAGACCTAAACCCATGCGTACCAGAAGGCGTGAATCACGCCGGTTTCGATGCAGTCAATCGTCTGATCTCAGCTGAGTACGTCCGGAGTGACAGAAGTTCGGCATCTTTGCTTGCACCTGTGGCACCTGTGAGCTTTGCGGTGAGGAAAGAACGTGCATCCGATGCAAGTGCTGTGAGTTTCAATTCATTCATGTTGCAATGCATATCAGAACAGTTTAGCAGCATCCTGCTCAAGTTTCGCCCCAATGCACCAATGTCGAGCAACTCAGCGTGTGATCCGTTGGCACCTCTTCAGCGCTGGATTTCCTACACACAACAAGAGTTGATCACAATCAGAGGTGAACTTCGTCATTTTCGGGAAGAAGCTATCTCCGTCCAAAAGATCCAACAGTCCCAACTCGACGTGCTCACCACACAAATCAGGGACATTGAGTCGCAGATGGCAGAAGTCATGTCTGCCATCACAGAACTGTTCCAGAAGCTTCAGAAGACCAACGAAGTGGTGGGTAACCTGCTGACGGATTTGCATTCCATTCAATCTGTTACTTCCCATTGTGTCAACTCTCTCCCGCAGCAAGAATCCTCAGAGTTGCCCCCAACACTCCCAGCAGTGATTGAGGTATCAGAGTGAAACGTGAGCAGTTGCAAAGAAGAGTCTGTTTGCCAGTGTTGCTGCAAGTGTATTGCAAGGGATGTGCAAGGGACGTGCAAGTGATGCGCAAGGAATGTGCAAGGGTTATGCAAGTGATCTGCTGGCAGCATGTGTTGTGAACATTTGCAGACACTGTCTTGATTCATGTCCTCAAGGCACTCTGCAGTTCTAAAAAGACTTGTAATGTACAGGTAGCTTTAAGTTATGTCGGTGTCCAGTTTTGAGAGCGATGCTGCCTCTGTATCGGACGTGCACTCGTCCGACTTTTCGTCAGACTTTGCAGTGTCTGACCAAGAACATGATCGACGTGCAGCTTTGGTCAGTGATCCTGATTCTGCTGATTTCGTCCTTGATCATGAGAGTTCGAACGGGTCATCGTTCCTTGGCCGACAGTTTACGTCAATTTCCCCTGGTCGATCAGTTCAGTTTCCAAAGTCGAACCATTCAGCTGCAGAACACACCAACATGTCGAAGATTGATCCGCCGCGGAAACGCAAGCTTCGTATGATTGATGAAGGTTCAGATGGTGTGCGCATCAAGATTCATCCTGCACCCAGAACCCAATCTCGCCGCAGAATGGAAGGCACAAGAGTGCTTGGTGACGACTTCTTCATCCACAACAGAGCCCAATTCATTCTCGATTTCCTGAGACAACATGGGGAACGCATTGCTAAAGAAAAGCAAGGCCCTAGGAAGCGTTTTTCTTCTACTTTGGAACTTCTGCAGTACGTCTTAGACCGAAAGTGAGAGAGCGGTGACGGAGAAAAAGAGTCCACCACTACTTCGTGTCAAAAGAAGTGATGAGCAAGGGATGTGCAAGCGGATTGCAAGTGATGTGCAAGGGACGTGCGAGGTATGTGCAAGTGCTGTGCAGGAAATGTGCAGAGAGACATGTCAGGGATGTGCAAGTGCTGCGGTTTGTGAGTTGCTTTCATCAGACATGTAATAGAGTTTTGTATCAAGCAGTCCGGAAGCTTTGTAGATTCTGAACAACATGGATTGGGCCGCTTCTGACGTGCTCGAGAACATCTTGACGTACCTGTTGCCAATCAGTGCCAGAATCACATTCATTACCCGCTTCGATCGAAATGACGACCCGGAAGAGGCACAACCCATAACCGACACCATGGTGGCGTACACGTTCTTGCAACGTGGGATACAAGAATTTCGGTTGTCCTTCTCGGTTGAGTTGGCCATGGGTTTTCAGGCTCTGCATACCACCATACGTTTTGTTCAAATCAATGCCGTGGCCTGCACCATGTTGGGCAGCATTTCCAAGAGGTGGATGCGTGCTGTGGTAGACCTAGCACAGGAGCGTTTGCGAGTGAGTATCGTGTCATTGGCCAATGCTGCGTACCAAACTGCAACTCAGTGTTGCATGTACTTCGATTCTGATGCAGAAGAAGCCGAAGTCGAATTACACTTAGTGTACAGACTGCGTTTCCTGAAGTTTCGTAGCCCACTCTCCTAGATCTCCTAAGGACAAGACGTTTTGATGAAAAATCGGTGAGAAAAACAGCGCGCAATGACCATCAACACTGCACGGAGCCCTTCGGGGCTTGTGTGTGTCCAACTCTGCTTCCAAGAGACGTGAGTGAGTTAGGCAGCAGGGGGCGTGGCAGTCACATCCTAGCCACGCCAACGAAGCTATGGATGTTGACTGGATGGGCTCACAGACGTGTGAACCTGTACCTGCACAAAGCTGCTCATGGGCCATGGGTCACGCATGTGGCAGCTTGAGAGCTTATCTGTGAATGCGACAGTCATGAGTGAGGGCTTGCATTGGTCAGTTTCTTGCTCAGTTTCTGTTCAAGAGTTTGTCTGTGAATGCGACAGTCATGAGTGAGGGTCTGCACATGTCAGTTTTACATGAGTAATTTGCGTTCGTCCTATGGCAGTACTTCAGATCACATGTTCTGACTTCTCCTGACAGCTTTCGGCAATATGCACTGATTGATCAGACCTGCGACACGTTGTGTCAAGTGTGTGGGTCTGGCAGGGTGTAGGAGCACAGCTTCTTTGGTACTAGCAGTCGCACAAAGCTGGAAGGCAAGATGTTGTCGGTGCAGAGATGTACGAACGTAGCAAGTATCAATACGGCAATAAATCCGATAGGACACGTTAGCATGATTTCAGGTGAGCACATACGAACCTCATGAGTGCCGCGTTAGTTGGCAATGATGACCAGACAAACTGCAACCTGCTGACCGGCAAGGCTGTTCCAGCAGATCATGACGGTCACGACGATCTTCCCCCTTGGGTGCCTGGCCATGTTTGCCAGAAGCAAAGCCTGCCACTTTCAAGGATGTGCATATATGCCTACCCCAGGCTGCGACTTTTTCAATGCCCAACCGCCATGCAACCGTGCAGGGAGTCCGCAGTCACCCATGAAGCGTCCGAACGATTTTTACGAAAGCGTCAACATGTCTTGTTTTTGTTAAGAACGATGTAGCATCCGAGGCACATGAAAGGTAGAACACGTTTCGGCATTGGTGGTGTGGCCAGCCTATTCTGAGGATTGTCGCTGATCAGATTCGTGCACAAGTTAGGTCTTGAACTGGAAGTAACTGGAAGTAAATAGGTGTTGAGAAATGACGAGAAAGCAAGCAGAATGACTAGCCCCAAACAGCCCGAAGCTGCGAGGAGCGAAGTTCAAACATGAAAGCCGGAGAGGTTAAAACTTTCAGCCACGAACATCCAAAAAAACCCAGGAAGCCTAGACCTAGACCATGCAAAACCTTCCCAGGTCCGATGCACCCTTCGCACCTCTTCATCCTCCAATAGCTTCAGGAGCCCCAAAGCCCAAAGCCCGATGATTTCAGTGAGGCGCTTCCAAGGGCCGCGCCGCCGAGGCCCTCAGAAGAGGCCGGGCCTCCGCCTGGGGCGGAGGGGCGCCGGTGATGCGCTGTGGGATCACAATGGTTTTTGGGGGAACGTGCTCGTGTGCAAAAAACGGTTCAGGGTTAAGAGAGGTTAAGAGTGTGAGAGTGTCAAGATGCGAATGGCAGCCGCCAGTGGGCTTCTGAATGCGCAGAACACCGTCAAGCAAACCTTGTAGTGAAGATACGAAGGCATCACCCACGATGGAAACACGCAGAAGACGGGAACGATGAGAAAGTAGAGATCACAATGATATGCATCACCGGCAGTCAAAACAGACGCAGTAGTAGTTGCGGCAGTCGTGGTGGTGGTGTTGGTTGTCGTCGTCGTAGTGGTGGTGATGGTGGTGGTGGCGGTGGTATGTAGTAGGAGTCGTAGCAGCAGCAGGAGCAGTAGCAGTAGCGGCACAGCAGTAGTTTCAGAAGTAGCAGTAGTAGCAGTGGTAGCAGTGGTAGCCGTGGGATGACGATGATGATGATGATGGTAGTGATGGGGGTGGTGGTGCTGCTGCAGCCAATGCTGCTAATGCTGCCAGTGCTGCTAATGCTGCCAACGCTGCAAATGCTGCTGATTCTGATGCTGATGCTGATATTGCTGCTGCTGCTGGTGATGATGGTGATGATGATGGTGGTGGTGGTGATGGTGATGACGACGATGACGATGATGATGTCAGCAGTGCTGATGATGTTGTCAGATGTGCTGACGATTAAGATCTTCACCATGGCCATGTATTGCATCATAACAGCCAAGGGGGTCATGATCGGTGATCCTGCTTGCATGATTTGTGCCTAGCTCAGCCCATCTCAAAGAACAGCCCAGCCACCCAGCCAGTTAGCACAGTTCAGCCCAGTACAGCCGAGCCTCTGCCAGCGTGGCAACAGCTTGAAAATATCCTACGCAGCGAGGAGGTATCCAGAGCTTTCAGAGATTTCCCCTGTTCGAGGCCCCTTCGGAGAAGAAGAAGACCAACAAGATCCCACAGCAATTTGCCATGTTAGCTCTTCGCTGCCTGCATTCGCGACTGCTTCTAGTACATTACAGAGATTGCAAGGGTCATCACGATAGTTGGCACATGTCACCTCCATCTGAGTACTACCATGACCGTGATCATTAGGTTCGGTATTCTCGTGGTGAAAACCCATACAGGACCACACAAGTCTAGTCTAGAGGGATGTGCCTCTCAGGCCCAGCGGCAATCCCTAGCTATAGTCCCTGTAACGCCTGCGGCATTGTTGGGAGTTGGGACGCTTGCAAAGGCAAGGTGCAACAGGAGACTGTCTGAAGAGCTGAGTGGGGGGTGTCAGGATCCTGGGAGGCTCTCGTGGAAGTCAGGGTGCTATCGGGTGCTCTACAGCAGGAGGGAAACGAAGTCTTCTGCACGCTCTCGCACTAAAACCCGCGGTAGCCTAGCCAGTTGGCCGCGATGCCCCCAGCAGCCAAGGATACTTGAGGAAGTGGAAGCTGCGCTCGAGGAGGACGACGAGGACGAGGATGGCGAGGATGACGAGGAAGTGATTCTGTCGCCGCCCAGCTCGAGTCACAAGGTATTTTTTGCAGCTAGCTGTTTCTTGGGAAGGGTGAGGGCTCCTTGCCGTGTGTAGGGTCGCGTCTTGAACGCCGAGCGTCGGGCTTATGATGTTCATAATTCAGTTTCCAAGCCTGGGCAAGACCAAAGTGCTAGCCTCTGCATGTGACAGGTGTTGGACATCGAGGCCAAACCAATGTCGTGGGAGGACGACGTTCAAAAAGCCCAATCGAACGTCCAGATGTATGTGATTTTGTTACGCCGAAGAATCCCAACAGCCTGGATTGCAGCCAGCATCCTGCCCAAAGCGCAGCATCCTCAAATCTCCCAAAAGCTGCAGCCTCAAGAGCCCACTGTCCAATACGATACACCTCGGGCATCACGTTTTCCAGAGGCAGCCGCTTGTCACCGAGCCTCCTGGCTTTGCAGAGGCCCAGGACTTCATTTCACCCTGGGGGCGTCGGCGTTTCCGGATTTATGAAGGGTCTGGAAGGATTTCGGGCTGAAGGAGGTTTCAGATCTCGCAGTTTGGGATGCGCTGGGCTAGGCTGTTGAGATTTCAAAGAGGCATGTGCTTTAGTAGGGTACCGGGGCGCAGATCTTCTTTTCGGACTTCGGTGTCTAGGATGTAGGCTTGGGTTCGACAGCTGGGGCGTCTGAATCTGCAGGTTTTGGTGCTGTTGCATGGACGTGGATGCAGATCCACGGACTTCGCTGTTGAGATCTCTGAATGGAGCTCCAAGGCGAAACCCAGAACCGTAAAGTGCAAAAAGCCAGCCTGGCTCTGAACAACCTTGAGCCCTAAGCCGCCAACAAGAAAACACCCGAAATGCATGAAGCGGGGCTTACAGCCCGATCCCAACCCCAACCCCTCGGGTTCCCATAGACCCCGTGCAGAAAGGTTCTACAAGGTTCTTCCAAGCACTTCCAGCATGCAAACTGAGACTCGCAGCCTCTAGAAGGAAGAGCAGCCGGAGCCGCATATTGTCAAGGGGCTGAAGCAGCAGACGTGGCGGCAAGCGCGGGCCTCGACTTTTTCGGGCTTCGTGTTTTGGGTTCAAAAATCTTCAGGACTGAGACAAGGGTTTGGCCTGTCAGCGTGTCAAGCTTAAGGTGCTCGTTAGTCTGACCCTAGTATTGCTTTGAAGGGTTCTCGGGCCTGCTGTGAAGCTGTGGGGTTTGGGTGTGAAGTTTTGGTTATGGCTGTGGCAAGTTTCGGGACCTGAGCGTAGACTTAAGATTCGAGGTTTCGGGTTTAGCTTTCGGGCTTTCCGCAGGATGGTAAGTCTATTTGGGGGCAAACACATCATGAATTCTTCGAAGTTCTGCGTGGACTGCACGCGATAAGTGTCGATGTCGTGGCCGTGGCGGCAGTCCTCCTGCACTTCAGCCTTCGCTGTCGATGCAACAAGCATCAACAAACAGACGGGATCGAACAACGTAACTAAAGGAACGGGTGTTGCTCGGCAGCGAGAAGACTTCAGCAGCAGAGCCCTGGACTTATGATCCTCATATGTCTGCGAGACCCAAGCAGGGGTTGTTCTGCAGAACCACAGACAAGTTTAGGACGTTTTGTGAGGAGTTTCGTCGTTGTGGAGCCTCCAAGCACGGAGTCCGAAGCTTGACATTGCCAAACCCTCCCCTTGCACATGAGGAGGACGCACAGACGATCCGGACCACCGGAACTGTGCTTTGGCCGACAGCGCGAGGAATGAGACGATAGGACTAGAGATGGGGATTTTGGGTCGCGGGCGCTGCAGTATGGCATCATGAGAGCCTTTTCAGGCTCTCAGGCAATCAGCAAATCTAGATTGATTGGTGCTGCGTATCTGGCAGCACACTAACTTCAAGGCACCATCTGCATCTTGAAACGCTGCCGTCCCCTGTTTTCTCAGAGGGTTGACTCCCCGTACTTTTTGTTTCGTAGCGACATGTCGCCTAAGTCGCTGGCTAGGCTAGGCATCCTGAAGCCTTAGCTGCAAGAATGATCTGCGTTGTGGGCCTCCCCTACGACACCCGGTGCTGTAACCTCACAGTGCACACCCTCAGTGATGTGCCGAGGATGACATTCCACTGGGGACGGACACGGACCCGTCCAACTACAAAAACCTGTGGATGGCCCTGCGAGCCTCGGAAGTCCAACATCGGGACTTGCATCTATTGGAGGGGTTTTAAGTGTGTTGGAACATCAGACGAAAGGCTTGAAGCCTGAATCAGGCTACACATCTCGGGGGTTTGCCCGCAGACTTTCGCGGTGCAGGTTTCCGAAGCGAGGGTCTGTGTGCCGCAATCACGAAGGAGCGGCATACGAAGTGTTGCCGGTCGTGGTGACGAGGTTGTTGATGATGATGGGGGGCGATGATAAAGTTGGGCGGTGATGATGATTGTGATGGCGATGGTGATTACGATGATGATGATGGTGATGATCGTGATGATCGTGATGATGATGATGATCATGCCAATGTTCATGCTCATGCTGATGCCGATGCTGCTACTGATGGTGATGCTGTTGCTGCTGCTGACGATGACGATGATGCTGCTGATGGGTATGATGTTGAATACTGTGTGCCGTATGCTGCTGCTGATGATGATGATTATGATGGTGATGACGAGGACTGTGATGACGATGCCCAAGATGGTGGCGATGATGACGATGACGAGTGACAACGATGATAAGGATGATGGCAGGTAAGTCAGTAAGTAGATAAGTAGGTAAGTTAGGCAGGCAGGCAGGTAGGCGGTGCTTTGCAAGGCCAGGTGTGTTGTTGTTGGTGGTGCACCACGATGGTGCTGGCGATGGTGATGAAGGTGGCAACTTATATCTTCTCCACGATGACGATGGAGGCAATGGGTGATTATGATGCTGCTGTTGTTGCTGTTGACTGGGGCTTGTGAGGATTGCCGCTGATGATGATGATGATGATGACGAGAATCGTCATGGACCTGATATGCTGATGATTGTGGCAAGGGTGGTAGAGGTCAAGCTGACGGTGATTTTAAAAGCCGGTGGACATGTTGCTCTGCGGCTCAATACAGTCAGGAGCTCCATGACCGGGATGAACAAAATGATGGTGTTCATGAGCACGATGTCGAGGATGATGCTTGTGGCACTTACAAAGATTATGGTGTTGGGGAGGATAAGGATCGTTGAAACTGTCCTTGTCGCCAGCCTTACCTGTATGTAGTCTTGGTTTGAACAAAGCGAATCATGGACATGAAGTCAGTTCTGTTTGGGTATACCATTGGTTAGATTGCATTGTTCGCGCCTTCCGTCCGTGGATTTGGTTGCAAGGGTCATTCATGAAATTGAAAGGTGTTAGCAGAGAAGTTCACACGGTGCAGAAGCAGTACATGATCAGTCAGGGTAGTCGTCAGCTCAGGAGCAACAAATGACTACACAAAGCTGGCTTATTCGCACGAAACGCATCTGCGATTCATCACTGGGATCGGATTGAAGTCCTTTCCACAACTAGGCCCGATGCAGAAAGAATTCGGTGCAGCCACGCGTCCAATTGGTTTTAGACTTTGAGGGATTGTTCGGCTGTGACTGAGGGTTCGTGGCGTTTTGTTGAAACTTGCTCCAGCTGGCCAAGCTCACTGACAGTTATTGTAGCGTTCAATAGTTTAGGTGGTGCAGATCTTGGCATCGGAGGTAAGGCAAGTACGCCACTGCTGCATGGAAGCCCTGGTTCCCGCGGTTCATGCCTGACTGTGTGTGGGCAACTTGCCTCAATACCATTCTTTGTGGCACTCGGCACCAATCTTTTGATACCAAGGACTTGGACTCGCGTGTGCTTGACGCTGAAAACATCGGCTTCACGTACAGCCAGCGGGTGGGCCCGATTCTCGAAACTGACGGAATCCATCCCGTAATTCCTCAACTTCGTGTTGCGGAAGTTGGAGGTATCGGCTTCGAGGGTGCGTGAAACGGCCTTGTGTAACGGATTTCCTGCTCAGATCTGGATTTGTACCGAAGCAAATCCGAGGGGCTTAGGGTTTGTAGGTGTTAGGGTTTAGGGGCCCCGTGATCTGATACATGGTTCGCCCCCGATCCGGTGCGCATCACGGCCTGATCCGTTACAAATGATCCGATTAGTCTGCCTTCGTGTTGCTTCTGAATTTAGTTTGTAGAAGATCGTCTCAGTATTGTGTTATCTCAATACTGACCGATGGTGAATGCGCAACTCTGAAACCAGCGTGTTCTTGTAAGGTTTCTTGGAATGTGTTTCTCGCAGACCATCTTTTTTCGCTACGTAAGCTACTCGAAGGCCAATGTAGCCGGATGCTCACATCTTGTCTGGCTTCCTTGTAGAAGCTACCAGCCGAGACCAAAGCTCTGTTCTCTCCCCTGTCTGCATGCAGGTGCTGGGCAAGAAGGGTTTTGACCTCGCCGGTGTGAAGCTTGCGGTGGACTACTACAGGAGAAAAGGCGACTGCACTAACCGACTAACCATTTGAAAGGATGGATCTCCTAGCTTTGCAAAGGCCATGAACCGAGGGGAATCACGGGCAGAACAGTCTCTGTAGTCTAGTGAAATATGATACAGGCTCGGTTGGGTCGGTTGGGCCCCACACCCTGACCTTTGGCAGGCATCAAGCTGTTGGTCATCGGCCAGCGTGACAGTCTGAATGATCTGAAAGATCCTGATGCCGGTATCGATGTCATTGTCGCGGCAGCCAGGCCTCAAGTGATGGTGAATTTAGTGTGGGCTTCGGGAGGTTGTTTGCCCAGGCTATATACTGTGCTGGTTTCCGGCTGCTTCGTGGGCCCGTGACCTTGATACACCAAAGTTTCCGAGTAGCAAATGGAAGGGAAATCACAATGGTAGCACTTCTAACCCGGTGCCCCTGAAGAATCAAGGATAAAATCGACGATGCTATGATCCTCAAGAAAGGGCACGAGAAAATGTGCAACCTGGCTGCAGAAAGAGGTCACACGTCCACATGGAGCTTTGCACTCGTCCTTCCTGCGTCTTCTGCGAGATTAAGCGTGGTCTCACCACGATGGCCTGTCTGGATTGGCTTCTGGCATAGCTCTGGTTGGTGGCTGGCATGAAACGCGAGCGCGACCACCTCGAACCACATCCTTGACGCTCAACGCAAAAGCACGAAGCCCAAAGCCAGAAACAGTCTCTCGACACTCCAATAGAAGCTTTAGCCCCCGCCTACCATTGGGTGAAGTTCTTCTCGCTCTGAGGTCCCATTGTTTCGCGGGACGAGTTCCGCCGAGAGCAGGTGTTGTCGGCGGGTATTGGATGAAGAGTCCAGGGTTCCCACGTGGGCTCGGGATTAGGCCGTGTAGCCGTACACCTCGAGGGTCGGAGCTACTGGCAACGAGCGGGAGTACAGGATCCGGGCATGTTCTCTTGAGCCGGTGTGGCCTGGCTGATCCACAGTAGGTGGCCCGAATCCCCAACCTTTTTCGATCCAACTCTGTGACAGCTTCTATCCTAAACCCCAAGCTCAAACGCGAAGGCCCGATTTCACGTATCCCCGACGGCAAGGGTTCTTGGACTACGAGCGTTTGTTGAACGAACACGAGCAGAACAGCAGAACTAACGAACATGTCAACTTGAGATGCAAACCTGGTGAGCATGCACACGCCAATGCTTCAAAGATTGACGGAGAAAGAAGACTAAGATGATGATGCTGCGGCTGATGACATGATCATGGTGATGCTGGCGGTGAGGAGGATGAGGATGATGATGGTGAGGCAGTTTCATCTTAGGAACTCATGCTTCACGAGACCACCAACATTCGAATGCCCATATAGGAACGCTCGCATCAGCAAAGACTGAACGACTAGTGATAAGCACGGTTACGAACGTAGAGCGACAATCCGACAATCCTTACAAATTGCTAGTACGTCGTACATCGCCAAAACACAAGCAAAAGCTGTCAACGTCGTTGAAAGGAGGACCAGCGTCTGGATGCCGATGTAAGAAGCTAGGCTTTTGAAAGACTGCTTGATTCAGGGCTTCTTCTTGGCGATCAGGCCTTTGATGCCAAAGACTGTGTGGCTTAAGGGATCAAGGTTTTTGGTGTTTAAGCTGCAGGTTACAGGGCTGTGGGGTGTTGGGATTTGGAGTTGTGTTTCGGCCCTTGGGGAATGAGGTCTATTGTGGAGTCTATTGAATACTGTAGGGCCCAGCTCGAGAGCGGGCGCCCGAGCTCCTGTTATGTGTGATAAGCCCTGTTGGGTTCTATCCAGTTGAGGGTGCTGCTGGCAGTCGTCGTCGGTAGCCATACTGGTGGTTGTCAGACTTCTGATCTTAAGGTCCTTGCAGCATGCAATGAAGTGTGCCGTGCCGTCAGAGCCACGTAACAAAAAGTAACAGAAGGGATCCATAATGCCATAAGGAGCGCCTGCAGCAGAGACCAGCTCTCTCAAAACTTGACTGTCTTGAGACTGCTAGTGTCTGCCTAAGTCCACCATGCGAGTATTCTGGCCGACGTTTCGTCTCGAACGCTGAGGACATTGGCACAAAGAGCAGGGCCGCAAGCTGCAGGATCCGGTAGCTCAGTGGTGGGGTTTCGTATTCTTTGCCAGCAACTGATGACAGCAGTAGCGCTACTCTCTTTTATCAATCACCAAAACCAAGCTTACTGTCCGAACCAAATCCTCGAAGCTCCAAGCCCCGGCTTCGCGTGATGCTGCGCAGACTTCGGATTTTCGTATTGACTTCAGTGGGCCAAAAGGATGAGGAAGCGGGTCTATCCGAGTCACTCGTCAACCTCCAGGCCTGAGGCCCTAAGCACTTCGGAGACGAGGAGCGATACACCTTCGACGAGCGCGGGAACTTCTGCCCGAGCTTCAATTTGCCACCTGGCGAGACCTGCACTAAGGTTTGGGAGAGTCTGCTCGAAGGATTTACTGTTTCAGGATGTAGCAGTGTAGGGTGCACAGGTGGTCTCTTTCGCGGCGATGCGTCTGTGCTTCGGGCTTCGGGCCGCAAGATGGTGGTAGCAGTATCGGTACCGGTGGGTGTGCGAAGGGCTGAGAGCCTGAGACGTGCTTCTGACATTCGTGGTTCAGGCCTTTGCCGCAGTGTTTCAAATCAAAAGCCGGGCGTCGTTCGTCCAATTGCAGCCATCGACCCAAATCCCGCTTCTACTCGTGTATGAAAGACATATTATATCTCGGCTTAGGGTTTATTCAAAATATCGGTTGATTTCTACAACACCTTAGGACAGGACTCTAGCAGTCTACTAGGGTTCAGGGTTGAGTTCTAGTTGCTTCTTTAAGACTTCGTGCAAGAAGACCTAGAACGAGCCCCGTTTTCTTGCAAAGTTCCAGAACGGAGCACTCAATCTTTGAAACATTTGTTTGTGAAACTGTGACTGAGAGGATGACAGGGATGCCGCTGCGATACAGGAAAGGCGAACAAAGGGGGTCCGTCGATCCTTGATTCGAGAAAACCGCGAAGCTTCGACGACCGATCTGGCGACTGCTCTCGACCCGACAGGGAGCGGCCGATCCTGACGCAAGAGTGGGACAGAGAGCTGCAGGCCAGAGTGCTCGCGGCTGCCAGCGCGTCTCAACGGAAATCTAGATTGAAAGTTCGTCGCAGCAGCAGTAGTACTCAGTAGGGGAAGTTGTCATCATAACGGTTGTCGTTGTCATCGTTGCTGTCGCAATGGTCATGCCGCCAGCATTTTCCACTCTGCATGTGTCGTGTGCACACCGCATTGTCGCTGTTCGGCCCGCATCAGTCTTCGGAGTTAAGATGTAATCTTCGGCTCGCAACTTGCGTAGGGTTCTGCATCAGCGAATCAGAGCCCCTGCGCGAGAATCATGTAATTCAGTGGTTGGTGACAGAGACTGCCAAGTGCCCCTTGCGACAGCCACAGGAGAAGCGTGGCTATGCCGTGTAGTGCCTTTACGAGGTCGGCACTCACAAAGTAGACAGGGAGAGGTTGCCATTGTCAGTCATTATTTGTTTGGCAGCAGCTGGCTACAATGGTGATGATGATTATGCTAATATGGATGAAGAGGATGGTAGCTCCGTTTGATCCAGGTCAGGACTAGGACGGTGATGATGATGTGGTTGCCGATGGTGATGGTGACGATGAAGGTGAGGATGACGATTGCAATTTATCATTGTTCATGATGGTGACGATGGTGACGATGATGGCGGTGACACTGAGGTGGTGATGAATGTGGCAATGGATGATTGTGGCAATGAGGAGGATGTCAAAGCAGAAGATGGCCATGATGAAGTTGGCTTTTGATGACAACGACAAAGATGATGATGGCAACGACGACGATGATGACAATTGGTATGCACGACAACGGTGACATAGGCTGACGATCTTGATGACTGTTAGCGGCATGATCAACATTGTGCTTCTCATCGTGACGTTTCCTGATCGACACGGGATACTTCCAGAATCCTCAGCATTGCATGCACCCTCGTTCGTCGGGTCTGCAATGTAGGGCTTCGTCTGCTTATCTGCTGGGCTTTCAGCCACCGCTGGCAGCGAGTTAGGGTGCTGCAGCATCACGCCTGTCACTGCTGGCAGGCGTGGGCTCTCATGCACGGACTCAGGAGCCCAACATGAAAGATAAACAACCTGAGAGTCCGGAAGCTTAACATAAGTCGGCATTATGCAATCTAGGCCTGCATCATGCAGCGGCTTGCAGAGTTGAGGAAATCTACGTCAACCGGTGGCTTTCTTCACAGTTGTCATTTCTTACTTACATGCTTCGGAGGCGCACATTCCGTGTGAAAGTCTACGGTGCGGATTAAACCATGGCGGCAGGTTCAGGTTACCATTGTTGTGTTGTACTCAGCCGAAACGATAACTGAGAGCACCAGAGAGATTGATTATCTATGTGCTTTCGATCTGTAGGCCTTAAACAGGTAGCGATAAAACCCGCAAGTCACTCATCCTCATTCGCCTAAACCCAATTTGAATCGATCGTACCCGAAGCCCAACTCTTCACAGGTGCAGGCCGAGGCCGAAGTCCGAGTGACAGGACAGTGTGATCCGTGATACAAGTTCTGCAGTGCATGCTGTAGCCGTCTATATCACACAGACACAGAAGCGGCTCCAACGTTTCTGAACCGTATGCATAGGCAGGTTGTGACCATATCCAGCAAAGTACTGCCATGCACTCTTTCACAGCCGTGGGGTGTGTCCCCAGGCTCAGAGCTCTAGATTCGATGGGCTTTCTCGCTGGAAACATATTCGGGCTGTATTGAAACAGATGTCACGACATGAGCAGACCCTGAATGTTTGCTGACGGCCACGACGGCTTTCCTGTAGGAGAACTAAATAGCCGGGTTCCACTAGTTTCGGAGAATGTCAGCGAACCTTCTGCAAGGATTGTGTGGGTGTGCTGCAAAAAGAAGAACCGCCACCACTACCTCCAGTATGACATATCTACTGCGGAATTACCATCAACAACCGGGCGAGTAAGAATGACAGCAGCCACGACTTGCTGCTAGTGCTACATATTCTGTTTTGATAATTATGGACACTACCATTGCTCCTGCTACTACTCCTTCCTCTGTTGCTCCTGCAACAACAACAAATGTAACAACTGCAACGCAACGACTGCAGCAGTTACAACAGCAGCAACCGAAACAGCAACAGTAACAGTAGCAGCAGCAACAACAACAACAGCTTCTGCGACGGCGACGACTACTACTGCTCCTACTCCTACTGTTATCCTGCTACATGCTACGCTACCTGCTACCCGCTGCCTGCTGCATGCTGCCTGCTGCTCGCTATCGCTACCGCTACCGCTACGGCTACTGCTATTGCTACTGCTACTGCAACTACTACGACCACGGCCGACAGTGACACGAGAATGACACGAGAAAGTCATCCGCAGCAAAGGCCGTTGTTTCTGCAGCTAGAGTGGCGTGATGTTCGCCAAACCGGAGGGAAGGGAAATCAATGTAGAACGTTTGTGTTCACGTCGATGTGGGCTCATGGTTCACATGTAGCAGCAACTGCATCGTGTGTCAAGGGATTGCCCTGGTTTCGGGTATCAGCGAACCCTGATCATCTCTTCACCAGCCCCCTCTCCTCGCACAGCATCAATTCACAGTTGCCGCCCAACAGTGTGGAAACTAGGTGATAACGAGCCTAATGGAAGTTACTCCGACCTCCTGTTTGCCGGGTTCGCCACGACCAGGCCGCAAGCAGCATCCTGCTCCCTGTTTTGGGTGATGCAGATTCGGATTAGTAAGGCAGAGGGAGATGCAAAAAAGCTTGGGTTCTCAACGGTGGCCCCTGAGCCGTAAACACAAACCTGGAGCTGAAGCAGGCTGAAGAGGCTACTTGCGCTCTGAGAATAGTGGATGCAGCTTCAGCTTTATCGCAGCTGCATCCATTAAGCGGTGCAGTTCGGCTGGGGCAAAAAGCTTGCGTGCATCAGTTTGAGATATGTCACTGGCACACAGCGAAACCACACAGCCTCAAAGCCTAAAGGTCTAAAGCAATTCCGATACATGAGCGCATATGTAAAGAGATAGACAGATAAATGGGTAAATGTTTCAGTAGGTACATAGGTAGGTAGATACGTAAGTAGATACACAAAAAGTTCATAAACTGGTAAACAAAGCGAGAAAGAAAGGAATCGTTACATGCATATTAATTATAGTAAAATGTGTGTGTATACATACATACATACATATATATATATATATATATACCTATAGGTTGATATGCATATACATACGTACTTAATTACAGACGTCCGTACGTACATACATATACAATCATGTGATTTTGCAGGCAGTTGGGCAGCAATCCACATAGCCCAAGTGTGCTCTTGTTACGGTTCGCTTTCACGTTGACGGCAAAGCTCAACCGCAGGCCTGGAGGACAGAACATGAACAGTGATAGCAGCAACGCTGAAACAGGCCGTGGTGCCCCCGGACGATGTGCATTCACGGACCCCAGAAGAAAACCGTCACCAGATTCCAAGCCGGCAAGCAGCCCACCAGCCAGATCCAATCCGGCATCTTTGCCAGCGTCATTCAAGGTCCATTGGTTCAATCAGGAAGCCGCAGAACCCATTAAAAGGAGCTGCACAGCATGGTCCTCATTCTAAAGACTTCCTTATCCGCCCCTAGTTCACCAAGAGCCTGCGCAATCTTCCAGGAGTCAAAAGGAGCGGGCGCCATAGCACGGCGCGAGCGGGAACGTCGGAGACGGCGAGTCCTGGTTGAGCAGCAACGCGAGCAGGTTCGGAGATATCTGCTGTTGTCGCTTGTCTACTTTGGGAAGGAGTAAGTTTTGCTTTGCTATCTCAGTAAAGACTTGTCATATTTGCCCCTGCATTGCCCGCTGGCTGTCCACTGCCAACGTCGCAATATCATGCTTCAAGAGGCTCTCCATCCCGGGGGCGAAATCCGACCTTCAGTTCAGAGTTTGAGGTTGGACTGCAGTCGACTGCAAGAACTTCATCTGCGGGGCTGTGGATTTGTTGGAAAATTCTACGTGCGAAATCCTAAGATTTCACATACGTGGCGCCCACATTTACGAACCACAAACCTGACGAAGCCCTGAACTTGACAGGGTGCTCAGCCGTCCGAATCTACCAGCTTCCTCGCCTGCCGCAAGTATCAACTTCAGGTTCCCACAAGGCGTCCATCCAAATGATACTATGCAACCTTCGGAGAAACATCAGACACATCCCAAGCAAGTCCGCAATGGAATCACGCGCTGGGCTGCAAGCCTCAGCTGCTCCCTGGGCCCTAAGCTTGAGAGCACACCGAACGGTCCGAAACTATCGCAGGAGATGCTCGAGGAGAACCAGCTTGAGCAGGCTCCTTTTCGGTCCAAGGTTCATGGTCTTGGGCTCGGGTCGAAGAGTTGAGGGTTTCAGGGTTTAGCGTGCAGGGCGGCGCATCTACGGTTGAGTTGACGATTTCGGCTTCAGGTAGGAGTGTGCCCCCTGAGTTGTGGACTTTGCACAAGACGTCTCAAGTCAAGCCAGAGGAAAAGTAGCATACCCCTCTCCCTGCATGGCTGTTGATGGCTTTCTTTACATGTTGTCAAGAGGGTCGCCTGTTGCAATCGGTGCAAAGATCCGTAAACCCAAATACCCAAAGCGTATTCCTGAAGTCCTGAACCATCTAAAGGCTTCTCTGTGCGCAAACTCCCGTACCGATTTTGGGTTTAGGTTTTCTGCAGTGCCCTTGGAAACGTTCCTTCACCCCGAGAAAGGCGGCAGCCCCTCCCCCCTGCCCAGCTCGTAAGCTTCGGAGTCAAGAAGGAAAACGTCACGTGTACCTCAAACCCTGTGATATTTTTCGAGGGGTGTTCACTCCGTGTCGTCGGCACCGCTTCCCTAATCTCAGAACGGTCTAGAGTCTAGGGTTTATTTGGGGTTTAGGGTTTAGGGTGTCCGGTTTCAGATTTTGGCATCTACACAGGCAACATCTACCGCTCCGACCACGTAAGCCATGTCCACCAATCCCACTGTCTAAGTGTACACACCCCAAAACCCGAAATCACTGGAATGCAACAGACCTAAAGCCCCAAATCCCCGAAATTCCCACCGAAACCTGACACGGACGAAAGTGTACACGCAAGCGTTAAACATCCAGCAGGTGTTGCTCGAGAAGCTCGGCCGACAGTCCGTCGAGGCCGTTTTTGGGACTGCGAGATGTGTGAGGCATGTTTTGAATATCTATAAGTTTTGATCCGCAGGCCCTGGGGCTTTGGGGCTTTCTTTTGGGGTTACGGCCTTCGAAGTTTTTGGAGCTTTGTCATTCTAAAAGACTGCATGTTTCCTATCTTTCTCAGTGCAACAAGTTCACGGATCGCAGGAACGGAAGTCCGAGTAATTCCCTGCAGTCTTCCCGCATCCTCCGTAGTTTTCATAGCACGGCTTGTGTGTCAGAACACGTTCT